TTACAAAAAAAATGCGCATTTTTTATAACGACCCAACCTCGCGCCGGAGCCGTCATCAAATCGTACTTACTGTTCGCTTCGAGAGGGCCTAGGCCCATTTTACCCCTCACGGCTTTCTGACATATCCCCCAAGATTCGAACTCAAGACATTCATCATACACTCCAATTGGTACTAGGATTCAACTTAAGTCTCCCATAAGATGGAGGTTTTGGATTCGAATCCTGGGTGACGCATCAGAAAGCCATGAGGAGTAAGATGGGTCCAAAGCAGACAGTACATACGATATGTTAACGATTTCGGCGCGAAGTCGGGTCGTTATAAAATTGTCCAATTGGTACCAGGATTTAACTTAAGTCTCCCATATGATGGAGGTCTTGAGTTTGGATCCTGGGGGACGCGTCAAAAGTCGTGAGGACGAAGATGGGCCTAGGCCCTCCCCGAAGCAGACAGTACGTACAATATGATGACGGCTCTGGCGCGAGGTCGGGTCGTTACAAAAAATACGCATTTTTTTGTAACGACTCGACCTTGCGCCGGAATCGTCATTATATCGTACGTACTGTTTGCTTTGGGAGAGCTCAGACCCATCTTACCCCTCACGACTTTCTGACACGTCCCTTAGGATTCGAACATAAGACTTCCATCATATGAGAAACTTAAGTTAAATCCTAGTACCAATTAGGCAACTCCAATTGGTATCAAGATTCAACTTAAGTCTCTCATATGTTACCTAATTGGTATCAGGATTCAACTTATGTCTCCCATATGATGGAGGTTTTGGGTTCGAATTATGGGGGACGCGTCAGAAAGTTGTGAGGGGTAAGATGGACTTGGGCTCTTCCCAAGCGAATAGTACGTTCGATATGATGGTGATTTCGGTGCAAGGTCGGGTCGTTACAATCGTCATGCAGATTCGAAAATCTCCGCGTGCAAGCCGTGTCTCCGTGCTGCCCAGAGAGTAGATAGAGACGGGGTCTCCATGTGCGTAATAGAGATCTAGTCTCCGCGTAGCTCGCAGCTTGGAGACACGGAGACCGTGTCTCTGTGCTGAGAATTTCTCCACGTACAGCACGGACAGACACATAGATTATAAATAAAAATGGCCTGTTTTATTTTCAAATTATTTACTCAATACTCGTCTACTTCATTTAAATGCTCATCTACGTCATTAAAAATACTTGATAACAAGCACAAATTCTTTTTATATGATATATAGAATTCAAAAGTAAAATTGAAAAGAAAAAGATTATGTTTTTATAATGATGAATGTAAAATTATTTTGGATATTTAACAAAATGTTAAATTAAATGCACTACACATATTATTATTACAAATACAACCTTTTACACTTAAAATTACAAACATTTCACTCACTCAAGAAGAAAAAGCTCCACCATCTTCACTACCTTCACAGCACCAAATCATCATTGAAAAGGGTAAGTAATAATTTCTCTTCACATAGATCTGCCATGTCTCCATGCTACGCAGAGACAACATCTTCGTGCACGTAGGACCGTGTCTCCGCGCACGAGGGAGATACGGTCTCCCTATGAAGACTTCGGGTGGTCCCACCCTGGAAAATACCCTCCACGAAACACGCCCCTTTCAAATTCGAAATCCATTTGTTCATAAATAATATTTTCTATTAAATTGTGCTTTTTAAATAATTTGTGCAGGTGTCATTGGAATATGTACTATCTTCAAATCAATGGTTTTCTGCTACAATCAATCAATTTCCAAATTACCAATATCTTAAAGATTTTGTAGAGTTTGTCAAAGCAGATCAACAAGCATCTTTATTGTGTAGTAATTTTCATGAATTTATATATGGAGTTATTTATAGAGCAGAGGAAAAACAACAATTCAGTAGTAATTTAGTTCATGAATTCATAATGAGACTTGTAAAGTGTAGCCCGTTTAATTCATGAATTCAATAGTAATTTGGCCTGTTCTAGTCTGTAAGAGTTTTGTCTTATCACTGAATTACCTTACCACGAGGTATCTGTTGATCTTGATTTCAACAATAAATAGACAACATGTAGTATCAGATGTATCAGGTTTGTGCAACAGCTTGAAAACAAACATTATTGAATAATCAAGGAGACAAGAAAGCCACTATCGAGCAATTCTTCAGAACTAAAAAGAATTGTTTGAACAATAGCAGAAGTGGAAGCAAGACCACTATCAGGACATGGAATCTAGCATGCAACCTATGGATGATAATTTGTTTAACGCACGCATTGCTGAAGAATCATGAAAACAACAAGTCCACTACCAAACATTTCTTGACAATTAGAAACGATTCTTTGAACAACAAGAAGAACACTACAAAGCCATGCAATCTAGCATGCAAAATTATGTGGATACTAGTTTGACTTCAGTGAGATCTTATATCGATGAACAAAATAGCAATATGCTGAAGAAATTATTAGACTAGAAACGAAGCATAGAAGCTGTTATAGCTTCTCTCCAACAGGATGTTTCTATCCATAGGAGTCCAGTTCCAAAGCATCCTCGACATCTCAATAGATTGAAGATGTTGAAAGGTTGACAAAAGAAAAAAAAGTAAAGGAAAAAAGACTATCATATGGACAGATACACAATAATTAGAGATTGAGTAATAAAGAATTTATCTAGATAACTAATTTAATTCTACTTTATTAACTTGAATATTATAATTTTACTTTAATTTATTTAAAACTAATTTAAATTATGTTGTGCAGTGCATATTGGGACAATGGAACTGGCAATCTGTACAGAAGAGACACATTGAAAGTTATAATGGACACAACACAAGATATGAATATTGCGGTTAGTAAAGTTTATTCATCATAATAAATTTCATTACATACTTAATATATTTAATTTACATTTATTTATTCTATTAGAATCTTGACCTGGAGTTACAACTTTGATGTGGCTTATCAAGGACGGTTGCACCCTTGTTTCAAATGAATATGCAATTCTAGATTTTGGATTTGAAAATGAATGTACTCGCAGATGATGTTGCAAAGAAGCATAAAAGAAAGAAGTGCAAGTACACATTCACTGGATGTTACTCTTTTAGAAGAATACATAAATGACAATTTACCAACAGCTGGTCATCCATGGATAACATGCAATTATCTATTAATTCCATGTTCGTATCCTGACAACAATTGGTATCTCTTTCTTGTGAATTTCCGCGAATGAAGATTCCAAATATATAATTGTAGCCATAGTGTTCATACGCCACAACAAGTCGGCATACATGCAAATGCGATATTAAATGTGGTCCAAACACTGTTAATGTGTTCAGAGTTTTCCATTAGCCGAGA